CAGGGTGCTAACGCAGGGGTGCGGCGACTTGGAGCGGCTTCCCGGGAGGGAAGCGGAGACAGGTGGTTGAGGGGGCGAGGGACGGCGCAGCACGTTCCGAGATGTGGGAGCTTGCTTCTAGTTCTTCAGAGGCTCGGAGGTGCGTGAGGGAAGGCCAGGGTGTAGCTTGGTACTCGCAGGTGCAGCCGGAGGAGATGCCACCGCGCAGGTTCTGTGCGGTTCCCCCACCCCATTAATAACGTGGGTGTGGTAGTGATTATGGGAGACTTGGACAGAGCTCTGAACTGGCCAGCTGCGCCCCCCTGGCCCGTGTGCATATCCACCAGCCACAGACGCCTGCGCCGTTGCGGGGGGTGGGGGGGGGGAGGAGCAAGCCCTCTGGGTAGCTGCTCTGGCAACCTAGGTAGCTACAGAGATAGGGCAGATAGAGTCAGAGCTGTGGACTAAGTTCCGCACTTAAGTTTCTGGATGGTGGGTCATCTTCCCGTGGGGGAAGTGGGGCTATGGGGAAACGTTGAATTTACTCAGGACTCCTTCCTAGCTTTGTTTGTAATCAGAGATGGGATATGGCCCTTACCAAATATGACTTTATTATTTTTTTGAAATTTCACATTGGACGTAATCTTTTTAAATTTTTATTTTATTTTATTTTTTTAGAGAAACAGCAAATCACAGAGCAGAGGACAGCGGGTCCAGCCAAACCTGTTGCTGCTGCAGTGCCTCTTATGTCAGGATAGATGGGTCTCTGTACCTTCCCCCTCACTTGCCGAGGCTCCTGGATACCCTCCTGCCAGGCTGTACAGTCTGCCTTTAGCCAGGGTGGTGTTGGTTCTGTGGCCCCCACCTGCCACCCAGCAGGGGAAGAAGAATGCAAGAGCCAGGCAAGTCTCTGTTCTCTTGGGTGAAAGGAGCAGGTATAGACAGGGCTGAGGCAGCAAGGGCCTGGCTTTCTTTGGCACTGGTGGCTAGAGGATTGGTATGCCAGCCCCTTGGGCTGGTTTCCACTCCTGGCCTGTCTCTGGCATTGGATAACTGCGTTGGTGCTATTGATGTCATCATGTTATATAACGCTTATATAATCTCCCACGGTGATAGCTTTCTCTCTGTTCTGAGGTCACACTGATAGGGTGTGTATGTCTATGTAGGAGAAAGGATCTGTGGTTTTTGAATGGACCTGTTCTCTCAGCTCATCCCCAGCTAGAATCCTTTTGTTGGTCTTGGAACAGGAGAGGTTTAGCTGAACAGGTACCCAGCATACCCCAGCAGTTCTGTACTATGAAAGGTGTCAGCTGGGCAGTTTTCTCCATTCCATCCTTTCATTTCTCCTTGTCCAGTGGATTGTTTGGTAATGTGGATGCCATTCTTGAGCGTTGAGTCCAGCTGTTGGTTCTCGGGGCTACCTGGCATGGCAAGTGGGTGTGGTGAGATAACCCCCAGGATGTGGAGACATGATACATTGTGCTTGAGAATCAGGATTAGCTCTGTCCTTGAGGTTTTGAGCAACAGACTGGAACGGTGATGCTGGCATTATATGACATTTGGAGCTGGCCTAGGGGACAAGAGGTGGTCAGGGAAGGGTGTACAGGGAAGTGGATCAGACAGCAAAGATAAACACGGTGTTCTTTTACTGTACTCTCCACTGGGCTGTCCATGGTTACCAGGGCAACAGAGGCAGTGGTGAAATCATGCTTTTCGTTCAGTGGAAAAATCTGGTTCCTCCTCTTCCCCCTCCTCTTTCAATTGCCTGCCAACCCTGCCCATTGGGAGGGTGATGCCCCTAGGGATCAAAGGCTCCAACATACCCTCTTAATGTCCTTCATTGTCATTTTTTTAAAATCATCTCCCCTTTCCTACTTTTCCTAGCTCCCCCTAAATCTCTACAGTTGTCAGTTGCGTGGGAGTTGGAATACATGGAGGGGGCAGGGTATGAACGTCATGACTGGACAAGGCTAGGCGAGCGTGGGCAGAGATGTGATGCAGCAGTGACAGGAACATGGAGAGGGTCAGGAATTGATGAGTTCTTCAAGCCAGAGGTTTTTTCCAGAATGGTAGATAGGTAGAAGGGAGACAGTACGATGGTAGAGGGTATACAGAGTATGCAGCTCTGGGCTCAGGGTTGTGGGAAGTAAGACATGCCTTATGATAAAAACCAGGGTTCACTCATTCAGCAGTTATTGTGTGCCCTTTAAATTAGGTAAGGTTCTGGAAGCTTGGAAGCTAGAGAGGTAGCAGTGAGCCGTGACCTTGAAGAGAATGTATGCATGGGAGGAAGATGAGTAAATAAAATGGGGTAAGACCCTATAAGCCTGGATGGGGTGGGGGCGATAGTACAGGCAAAAGACAAGTAAGATGCCAGACTGGAGGTAGGAGTCTGTGAAGCCTGTGGGAATGGAAACGAGAGACAGGTCAGACAGCCATTTTGATTTGGGGACAGGACATGGGGAAGGAAGGTGCTAAAATTTTAGCCTTAATAGTTGGTAGAAATAAAGTTAGTATTCAAACTGTTCAAGGGAGACACATTTGATTTGTTTTTGGAAATCTTTGGAATGACGTTAGATATCGGTATAGAAACATTTATGGTCAGATATACAGTGTGAGATGGAACTCAGTTCTGGGGAGAGATTCTAGGAAGAGCTTGGAAGTACAGGTTTATGCTTTGTTATGCTTATAATCCCAGGACCACTTCAGACTCCTTGGCTTGTTTCTATTAACTACTTACATCTTCTGTCAGACCATATCTGTTTTTAAAATGCAGATTTTAGTGTATACTTTCTTCTTGTAGTAGCCGTGTCTGAGTACATGCAGAATCAACACATGCAGACTCACTTCCCTCCCCATATTGCCTTCTTGACCTTTGTGGTTCACTTAGAGTCATGATTCTCAGCCTGTGGGTTGTGGCCCGTTTGTGGGATCAACGAACACTTTCACAGGGATTGCCAAAGACCTTTGGAAAACACAGATACTTACATTATGATTTATAACAGTAGGAAAATTATAGTTATGAAGTAACACAAATAACTATGGTTGGAGGTCATGACTTGAGTAATTGTATTAAATGGTCACAGTACTAGGAAAGTTGAGAAGCACTGACTTAGAGGCTCAGGAAGTGCTTCTGGCTTGCTTTCTTTCTTCCTTCCTTCCTTCCTATCACTGAGTAGGAGCACAGAGTCGGCGACCTGTCCACCGTCTTGGATGTACTACTTTCCTTTCCAGGTCTTAGCATCTAGCATAAGGAATCTAGTTTTTACTTCTCTGAAGCCCCCAGAAATGATGTCTATAGCCATTTCCACTTTTGCTTAAGTTTCTGATTCAGGTTAAGTTTTTAGAATAAACAGACTAGACTTCTTTTTAGTTCCTTATAGAGCAAGTAGCAGATATGGACAACTGAATCTCATAGTAGAGATACATAGATACATTATGGCCTGTGTTCCTTTCTGAAACATCAAATACTAAAAGAACAGATTCTAGTGTAAAAACAAAACAAAACAAAACTATGGCCTATGTAGACCAGATGCTTATTTCTGTACTTTGTTGGATCTTAGAAATGCCTGTTGCTTATGTATTGCCACAATGGTATGGTCAAGTAGGTACAATAGCCACGTGACCTGCAGGCTTAAAATATTTACCACCTTATCCTTTAAGACATTACAGATAGAAGTTTGCCAACCTTGCCATTGGCTACCATAAGAGCACATGAGTCTCTATTGGGAATTCTTGCTAGGACTGGTTCAGACCTCAAAGGTTCTTAAAGATTGTGTGTTAGATATTTACAGTGACCTCATAAGAAGAAAGTCGATGACCAGAATAATTCCATAGTGGGAAGCTCCTTTCTTTCTAAGCCCTTTCTGTGGAGCCTGGAAGGTACCCCACTCTGTTTGGGGGCCTAGAGTCTAGAGTTCCTGAGCAGAGCTGGATCGTGGCCATGGTTTGACGAGTTGTTGTGCCTGATTCTCAGGTTTGTGCAGAGGAGCTAGACTAAGCTCAACCCAATTTTGGGACAGAAGAAGGGAGACTGATGAATTCTTTGGTGTCCCGTAGGATATTTTCTGGTAGTTTTGCTTTGCTCTCTGTCCCGAGAGTACCAGTCTAGAGATTGTCTGCAAGCAGCCTGTGTGTCTTGTCTGATCATGGCGCCCATCCACACTGTTAGAACAAGGCTTAGGCTTGGTGTTGTGGTGGCTGTCTGTCATCTTGGGATTGGGATCAGCCTCTTTGTTTCTTCCTGGAGACCTTTTGTTTCCTGATTGCCCTCTTGTCGACCTGGTCTTCAGCTTGGAATCTTGGTCAAACCCTTGGCAGGCAATGGTGCTGATTTAAGACTTGGTGCTATGAGCTAGCAGCAGCACAACAGCTGGGAAGTTTGGTCTAGGGGTGAGGTAGGAATTGAAAGGTTTTGGTGGCAAGAAGAAACCACATACTCTGATCAGTGGGGAAAGAAGAGGTGACAGGTTTATTCCCATTATAGCTGGGAGGGAGAAAGGAGAAGGTGCCAGTAGGAGGAGGGAACAGAGGATCCAGAATAGCAAAGACAGTAGCCAA